CAAAACAGACAATACTTAAGGTTTTACCACAGCGAAGTGTAGTGAGGGTGAGGCTTTTAAGCTTAAATTCAGCATAGCAAGGTAGGATGAAAACTGGTACAGTAGTCCCATGCAAAAGATAGAGACTGAGTCAAAACTGAAGCAAGTGTACTTGCAAATCTTGTTAATTTTAGCAAACAGGAAAACGCAAATGGAATTGCACAAGACGGCCTTGTATGTTTTTGAGTTTTCTGAATTGTGAGCTACACAGGGAGAAATGAAGAGGTCCCTTGATTTTGTCCAATTATGGAAAACTTCACCCTCATACAAAGCCTCCACCCCAGGACTTCCAATCCCCACAGTTTCCTGTGGCTTAATGAATGCAGAATTCTGCTTGGGTAGCAGGCCCCCTTTGGCCTGTCTTTAGACTTGCTGCTCAAAGATGATGCCAAGCGAAGCTTAGGAGGAGGTGAGGGGGGCTGGAAGCCAGGAACATTGACTTCACTGCAGGTCTAAGTTTGATCATTATTAGATGCAGGACCTTGCATCATAACCAAGTAAAAATAAATGCGCTAAAATGTCTTTAAAGTTAAAGTGCAGTTAGGTTAGATGACAGATATTATACTTCAGGAAGATAATAAATTGTTTAGCAATGATTCTGAATTATCATCCGATTACAGGGAGAAGATAGAAAAGCAAGGAAACATGTAAACAGCCATTATTTATTTTGTGAGGCTGCTCCAACTTCAAAGGTGTTTGATTCCAGATCCAGTGTGGATCTGTTCCTAATAAGGTAATAGTTACAGAAAAGTAACGACAAAGGTCTCAGATTCACTGCAAAGCATCATCTCACACAAATGTGAACTTCTGAAGCCCTATTTATTGACTAACAGGGGGGAAAAATAGATCTAAAAGGTCTTTGAAATTCCTATCTGCCCCAGCACTAAATTTTTTTTTATTACCTTAAGATAAATGCTTCTCTGCCCTATTTCAAATTTAACCTTCCCCAGTTCGTGAAAACGAATATAGTGTGGTGCAGCTGACTCTACTGCGATTATCTGAAATAACAGTGTGACTCTTCATATTTTCCTTTTAAAAGCTCTTTGTAAAGAAGGTAAAACAAACAAACAAGCAAAAAAACAAAACAAAACAAAAAACCCTTCCATTCTACAGATGAGAAAACAGGTTCAGAAAAGTTAAGTTTAAAAGTCATGGCTTGGGGATCCCTGGGTGGCGCAGCGGTTTGGCGCCTGCCTTTGGCCCAGGGCGCGATCCTGGAGACCCGGGATTGAATCCCACGTCGGGCTCCCGGTGCATGGAGCCTGCTTCTCCCTCTGCCTGTGTCTCTGCCTCTCTCTCTCTCACTGTGTGCCTATCATAAATAAATAAAAATTAAAAAAAATATTTAAAAGTCATGGCTTTGTTTTGGCCCTAAGAATGCATGAATAAAGCTGTTTTGATCCTAAATCTTAAGTTTCTTGTCCACACCAGTTTTCAAGTGTCTCATAATGTGGGCCTTAGTAGTTCATGGCCTCGCGGTGCGGCTGACATTCGGAAGCCTAGGAAGCCACTGCAATGTTCAGTGACATGTACTTTGCATGTTGAAATTGGCGGTATGTTTATTCCCACGGCCAATGTTCTAAATTCCACCTTCACTTCAGCAGTGGCTGCAACCTGAAATCTCCTTCTTCGGTTCTGCTTCTTTGCTATGATGGTGACCCACATTGTTGAACAGCTCAATCACTGAATGAGGAAAGGAAGCAAGACTCAAATGTGATGCATGGGATTGAGGCCTGTAGCTATGTGTGGCTTTAGTTTGCCACCGAGATTCTCATGCATTTCAATTCAGTTTTTAATGGATTTCTACTCTACATCTACCTTCTGAATCAAAAATGTCCTTTGCCAAGTAACAATTTCACTTTACCTTCAGTTCCTCCTGTGAAATGGAAAATAGTATTGATTAGTAAAATATTGTGAGATCTCAGGGCAACCAAATACCTTGGAACTACAATGAAAGCTCATATATCTAGGATGTTGATAGAAACCATACTGCTAATTATTTTTTTAATACAATTACCTAACAATTTTAATTCAAGATTCTTGAAATGCTCCCTAACTATTGCTTCTTCTATTAGGATTTAATCTGTAACCTAAAGGAAAGACTAAAAAGACTAAGACTAAAAAGAACCAAGAAGGCAAAAAAGAATCAGAATAGCTAAATAAATAAACATGTCAACCACAACAAAGTGAGTGGCCAAAAGCAGTTGCTAAAACCCTGAAAATAGTATGTAATATACAAATAAAGCACTTTTCCTTATATTTAAAGACTGAAGATAAAACATTACTAATCAGAGCAAATAGGATGAACTTGAAGAGTTATAAATTGTGACCAGCTTTCCAACTCTAGGAGCTAAGTATTAACACTGAATAGGGAACTTTTTCTGGCCAGAAGCAGGGACTAGATTGACCCTCATGCCTGAAATGACAGAAGAACAGACAATGGTTCTGAGATGTTGAGCATCAGGTAGCCCAGGATGGTGATCCCTGAGAGAAGGGAAGTAAATGATCACATCAGCTTACTGCCTGAGAGGCAACTTCCAGACCAAAACTCAGGGCAGTGGGACCCAGAGAAAGCCCAGAGGTCTTGCTGAGTCTAAAAGACAGGGCTCACACTCAGGGAGGCAGGGGCACGTAGAATTTCTGGGGCAGTAAACCAAAGACAGACTTCCAAAGATTTAGTGAAGAGACTTTGGCTGCCTCCTAATCTACCCAGCACAGGAAAGGAAATTGCCCAAAGCCATGGAAAGTACCACCATGGAAAGTACCACCAATAAAGAGTAGCCTAAACAGAGTATCTGTACTTTGAGACTCACTTGCAAAGCTGACATGGGACCATTTTCTAATTCCAACTGGAGACCTCACTACTTCATCCAATCATCCCATGACTCAGATCGGTGTCTGGCGTGTACCCTGGGTCCAGGCACCCCATAGGATAGCTCCTGCATGATGCAAGACACGTATACATACATTCTGGAAGACTGGACCTTTAAGCAGGGGAGGAGAAAAAGGAGTGTGCCCACACTTTGCATTAGACGAAGGCTGGCTGGGGCTCCTGGAGCAGAGCGACACACCCTTATTTGATAGATGGTTTGGGCTAAAATAAAGAAATTTAGTAGCTACAGTTATTGGTTTTTAAAAGAGAAGAAGCATTTGCCTTTCTCGTAGCCTCAGCTGTTTGGGTCCTGTAGAAAGACCCTGGATTATTTCTGATCTTGGCTTCACATAGTCCCATGGCAACCATCACAAGTCCTGGCTAAATCTCTCTGTCCAGATTCAGACTGTCTTCTGAAAAGGAAATTCTCTAAACCCAAACTGACCAAATGAACACTTAAACGCAGCTTAAATAGAGCAGAATGAAGATCTAAAGAGAAATAAAGTTTAAAAAGAGGTAGAATAAATAAGAGAAATAAAAGTAATTTTACCACACTTGACCTATTTAATCATTCTTCAAATTTAATCTCTGAGTTTCAAGAAGATTATTGATGCAGAAGATAAACAACTAGGTTTATCTCATTTGCACAAATCTTTTTGCCTCCGTCTGTCAAAATGTAAGCCCTGCCTTCATGTCTTCCTAGATAATATATATTCTACCATCTGCCCCAGCATCTCCCTTTTGTCCTCTAATCCTATTATTTTTCATATGTTCCCACTGCATCTTCTTTCTGTTTCTCAAGGTCCTTCTCTCTCCTCATTTCTACCCAGATCTAAATCCACACAGATACACTCAGCAAATGTGCTAATAAAAACCTGCCCTAGCACACTGGTTAAGAGTGCGGGGTCTAGGGCCTGTGTGCTTGATGTCAAATTCTGATTCTGCTATAACTGGCTGTGTGACCTTTTGCAAGTTACTTAGCCTCTCTGTGTCTTAGTTATTTATAAAAGGAGAATATTAACAGTTCAATGGTCCCTTCTTTATCTGCAGATTTGTTTTCTCTGTGATTTCAGTTACCTATGATCACCCACGGTCCAGAAGATGATCCTTCTCCTGACATACTGTTGAAGGTCAATAGCAGCCTAATACTATGTCACCAAGCCTATGTCATTCACCTCATTTCATCTCACTATGTAAGCATTTATCATCTCATGTCACAAGAAAGGTAAATACACTACAATAAGACATTTTGAGAAAGATAAATCACATTCACATAACTTTTATTACAATAAACTATTATAATTGTTCCATTTAATTATCAGTGATCATTGTTTGTCTCTTACTGTGGCTAATTTATAAATTAAACTTTTATCACAGGTATGTATGTATAGGGAAAAACATGGTATATATCCAGGGTTTGATACTATCTACAGTTTCAGTCATCCACTGGGGGGACTTACTTCTCCATGGATAAGGGAGGACTACTCTTGTGTGTCTTGTAGTCTTTGTGAGGATTAATAACATAATGTTCCTAAGCCTTTTGGCACAGTGCTTGGCACATGGAGGACTCTCAGTTTTTCAAAAAGTGAGCTATTGTTATTATTAATAATGTCACCTTTTATTTAAGGTTTTGCTCGGTAAACCACCAAGCTCATAAATGAAATGGAATTCTGGTACTCTATTTTTTTTCCAGAAAGGAAAAAAGGAACAGGGTAGACTCGATGTTCATGAATTAAAAAGGAGAAGGAAACCCCGCAGGGGTGCTGCGTTATGAAAAGCATTGAGAATTAAGTTCTGTTTTTAGTTTTGTCCTTTCTTTCTCTCCATTTCAGAAACTCATAGAAAAGAAAAAAAAAAAAAAGCTTTAGCATCTTCAGGTCCTCAGGCTCAGAATAGGGACTCACTTCTGGATGAGCAATGCTGTGTTCAGAATCACTGGTGACCAAAATTCAATAGATCCTTTTAAGCCATGTCATAATGCAGCAAAACATCAGAAGCAGAAAAAAAAAATCGTGCAACTTACTTCTTTAACAGATTGTGGAAACCATGAAAAAGCTTGTTACACTGAGGAAGAAATAGACTTACTCACCTACAGGAGTCTACTTGGCTGATTAAGGCTTGTCCCTTTTGCAAAGCATCAGCTGTGCAGTCTTTAATTTCTCTGTGTAATTCCTCATGCCTCGATGCCAAGACAGGCAGACTTAAACCTTCTGATTTAAGGAGCTTAAGGTAAGCTTCGACTCTCCCAAGTACATCAAATGCCTGCCAAGGAAAACATAACTTTCATTTTCTGCTTTTCTAGTTTAAAATCTACATCAATGTGTACATGAAATACTAGAGATTAAACCAGCCTATTCAATTTATTAGTTTGATCATAAGCAAAACAACAATCTTAGTCTAAGAAAACAGCTGTGTAGTTTTAAGGCTCCATGTAGGGAAACTGATCATAACTTAGCTCGGCATATATAGTGTCAACACCATAAAGTCAGCAAAATAGTTTACATTGAGAATGCACCTATACAACACAGCGATAACTGCATAGAACTTGGAGAGCCAGGTTTACTTTTTGCACGTTCTGTACTGTATACAAATAATGGAGGACATATTTTAAAAATGGTATGCAGACTTTCACAACCTGAACGTCCTGTAATGCTCCTAAAAGGAAATTGCCCAGTAAATTGCACCTTGAGTCATTACAGAGAAATATTCAAGAAATGACTAATATGCTTTCATCCTTTGTCTTTCTAAGACCTTCTACCTGTTACATCCAAGACACCCATCTGTCTACAAAGATTATAATTTGATTCTGAAGCTGTGCAAAGACTAAGGCCAAGATAATATTTCGCTTCTGACACACAAAATAGGTCCATGTAGGAAAAACACATCTTGCAAACCAAGATATCGTCTTAAGAGATGTTTTTTCAAATTCCTTTATTTTCTTTATTTAGCAGATCAACAACCGAATGTGGGGGATTAAGTCTAGGGAGTTAACAGAGAGTAGAGAGGCATTATCCTTTTGTCTATTAAGGCCTAGTGGATATTAAGATGGAGGAGTATATGATATAAAGGCAGTAAAAGAGGACCATGGCAACACGAGGAAAACAAAGAGAGCAAAGTGCATTGGTGTCCATAGGTGTCTTGGTAGCCTATTTCTGACCTTGGGTCTGGAGAGCAGAAGATGAATTAGGTAACTTAAGGAAAACCTGCATGGCAAAGGAGTTCTTGGCATGTTGCTCTTTGGCACTACTGGAAGAAGCCACCCAAATGGGATGCCCCATACCAGTCTGGAGAATACTCCTATCTTCATAAGCCTGATGGTGTCACAGTCACCAGGGGCCGTGAAGTCTAGCCTTCCTGGACTGTTGAGTTGGAAGCCAGTGAGCTTGGTAGGGTCCTACCAGGTACAGTAGGAAGACTCCACAGAGGACTCTTGAGCCATGAAAGTGGATGGCCTCATGAGTCTAGTTCCCACTGTGACCTGAAGAGAGACCAGAAGAGCAAGGTTGAGTTGATGCTGAGGGAACACAGTTTAAGCCAAATATAGAGGCTAAGGCGAGCTGTGTATAAGTAAGTATCCCTGTACCTGTACCTGGCTGCCATCTAAGGGAGTGAATTTTCATGTCAGAATCGGAATCGAACAGAATTTGAATTACAAGTGAAATTTCTCAAACACTGTCCCATTATTTATATGTCGATATTCTGTAGTCCCATCAGTTTCCTCCGGTCTCCTGAATCTGCTCTTTCTGATTGCTTAAAATATTAAAAAAAAAATCATTCTTATTTATTTGGATGAAAGGAAGTAATAATACCGACTACAGCTTAATGGGAATTGACTTGTGCTCCTTCTATACTCTGTGTTTCATGATTACCTTTCATTCAGCCAACAAACATTTTTGATGTCTCCTGAGTTTCAGGCACATTATCCTTAACAGCCTCGGATGGAAGTGAGAAATTATCTCCATTGTATTGACTGGGGAAACTGAGTCTCAGAGAGATTAAATAAATTGCATAAAGTGATACTTCTACTAAGTGGCAGATCTGGTCTCTGTACTCAGTTTGCCAGGCCCTGAGGCCCTGCTCTTAAACCCTGGCCCACGGAGTCACGTGGCAAAAGATTACCAGAGGAGGCTTAAGAAAGAAGGGGCATTTTCAAGAAGCCTGCTCATCTTAGGTGGAAAAAGTAAGATCTTAAAACTTAACTTTTTGTAAATAAGTGTCTACTTTTCCTTCTTATAGGTGAGAAGAGATACAGAGAAAGGTTGAGTGATTTCTCTTATGCTGCACAGGACTGGGAAAGGAAGATAGTTTTATTACAGAAATTTTGAACCTGAAGATTCTTCCTTATTTGATCCTCCCCCTTTTGTTTTCTGTAGTTGGCCACAGAGCTAAACGCGTCAAGATGCTGATGTTGAAAGAGATTATTTGAATCACTTTCTCAATCTTTCCATGACACATTGAAATACCACTTGGCAATAACCACCACTATTTCTGGAATTTTGTTTTTTATATTTTAAATTTTTATTGCTTATTTTGAATGAAGTGGAGTCTCATGTTGATCGAAGTTTAGCTTTAAAGTTAGTGCCTAAAACAAAAATCTAGTGCTGTCAAAATTATTATGAACCCCCTTAAATCATGCTTAAAATTTAGTGTATGTGCACAAGTGCTTACAGTAACTCATGCTCACATTGAGGATTGGAGCCATGGAGCTAGACTAAAGGAAGAAATAAAGAGAAAGTGTATATACGACACGTGACGGCATTCACTTCTTTCTTCCCTTAAAAGAAAGAGTTCCCAAAATTCTTTGTGTGAATGGGAGAAAGGATAGAGAATTCCAAAGTGCTTTTTCTTCTCTACAAGTTTGATCCCACTCTGTTTTAGCATTAAGCCACTATAACCTTAATACATGTTTGTTGTTGTTTTGAGAATGAAAGATGGGAAAAACGTAGGAAAGTTAGGGCAAGAAGGTGGACGTGTAGAAAATATTCAGAAATTATTTTCTCCTGATTACTCTAACTCTTGATTGGACACATCTTTGAAAAGTCACTGAGAAGAGCGGGACCACCTGCTGCGGCCATTCATTCTGCCTGGGCCTTTCCTCCTGCCGCCCCAGTGAACAGCTGCTACTCTCATATCCTCGGGCCCTGGCCTCATCTTTATAGGAGTTAGAGTCTAAAGCTGCATGTACATTAAATGTGTGCAAGGGGACTCCATTCCCTTCTTGAACGCTACCATAAAAGTATTATATCTCAATAATGTGGGAATACATTGAAGGCAAAACAGTCACTAGAAGGAGGAGGTGGCACATCAAGGACCAAGATAACCCATAACTTAGAATTAAAATAGCCAAATTCTCTTCTAGAGTTTTTTTCTCAAAAAGATCAAAGTGTTAGGAAAGTACCTACTTACAAATTATCCCATGTATCACACTTGATAGAATTATGGTGGAAGAAAGGAGGTGAGTGGTTGTGTTCCTTCATTAGCTCAACAAATATATTTACAAATAAGGTGAGGTGCATACTGTAAGAGAACTTATTCCTTTTTTTTTTTGCTTATTTATTTATTTTTATTTAAATTTAATTTGCCATCATATAGTATAGAGAGTTTATTTTTTTTTATCCATAATCCAAAACTAACCCTACTGGGAATCATCTAAACACACAGAAATGTTAAATTTAATGATTTTAAGAGGAGTCCTCTTTCAAAAAGATTACACTGTCTGTGATTGTCAGAATCCCATGTAAAACTCATTTATCTTATCCCCAAGTAGAATTTGATGAGGAATCCATGTACCAATTCCAGAAATGATCTAAGTAACATTGCTCTCACTTAATCTATTCCCGGAATAGAACCGAATGTTTTTCTATTTACCATATGCAAAAGGAACCTGATATACTGGATCCAGCCTGGAAAGAATCTCTTTGTCTCACACATGGTATAGAGCAAGTTATTTTTAGCAATGACACTATGACTCCCATATAAACTCCTGTGGAATTAATATTTCCTTTATAGTTTTCTCTTCACACTCCTCTCTTTCTTCAAACTTGGTCAAATACAGATTTTATGACTAGGGGCGAAAACAAGGATATGAGCACAAGGATAATATTTTCTCCCTCTGGATTCTAACTTTTCTTGATGATTTATTTTATAGTGTACCAACCAGTTCTTGGGCAGATAAGGAGACCGCTCGGCTCTTTTGCCTTGGTTTGGAAAGACTAAGGAGTTATTTGGTTTTTTTTTACGATGCTAATAAAGATTTTTTTTTCGTGGAAGGAGCCTCGGTGTCCATCGAAAGATGAATGGATAAAGAAGATGTGGTTTATGTATACAATGGAATATTACTCAGCCATTAGAAATGACAATACCCACCATTTGCTTCAACGTGGATGGAACTGGAGGGTATTATGCTGAGTGAAGTAAGTCAATCGGAGAAGGACAAACATTATATGGTCTCATTCATTTGGGGAATATAAATAATAGTGAAAGGGAATAGAAGGGAAGGGAGAAGAAATGGGTAGGAAATATCAGAAAAGGAGACAGAACATGAAGACTCCTAACTCTGGGAAACGAACTAGGGGTGATGGAAAGGGAGGAGGGCGGGGGGTGGGGGTGAATAGGTGACGGGCACTGAGGGGGGCACTTGACGGGATGAGCACTGGGTGTTATTCTGTATGTTGGCAAATTGAACACCAATAAAATAAATTTATTATTAAAAAAAAGAATAACTGATGCAAAAAAAGAAAAAAAAAAGGATTTTTTTTCCTCCGTTGTTAAGTACAAGATCCAAAATGGGGCTGAACCAAATCAAATAGACATGGTAGCAGGACATAGCACGTTCTACTCTTTTAAAAATAATTAGTGAGATTTATAAATTAAGCAAGAACCATGAGTCACCCAGAATAATTGTATCACACTATTTCACAAAGATGCTTGATGTGGTATTGTTTGCTGCTAGACTAGCTTATTTAAAGGGAATCAACATTAAAAACAAACAAATCTGAACAGTGTAGAACCTTGAAATTTTCCTTTCATGAGTTCCAAGGCTGAAAAATGAGTTTGGTTGGAACTTTTATAATTACCAAGGTCACAAAACTCAGCTTCTCATTAGAGAATCTCACTGTCTGCAGAGATTTCTTCGGGGTTCAGTTTCATCAAGACGGAGAGCCTCCATTTCCTTTCCTAAACACCACCTGAGATAATTTCTTGTGACTCCTGGTTTGGAGAGCTGATACTTGATTCAGATCCCGTCCAAATCTGCCCCAGCT